TCCCATGTATCATTTTCTTCCAATGCTTTCAATTCATCATGGCTTGTACCCAATTTTGATCTTTACAAGCTTGATGATAAGTATGTGGTTCTTGAACAGTTGATACATTAGCCAGAAAAGAAACATATGCATGGTGTAAACAAGGTGAAATAGAGTATGGATATGTGGTAGGTGTATATTTGTGAGCTGAATTTTGTGGTACAAAATTTTCTTGGACATTAGCAATTGGATCCACTGAACTTCCAATTACATTAGTGATATAGTTATCCAACCAGGTAAGTCTAACTCTCAGTCTACTGCTATGTCTAAGCTCTTGCACAACATCAGCTTCAGTGATAGGAGATTCTGGAAAAGGAATTTGTATAATGGGCACAGTTTGAGGACCGGAATTGGAAGAGCCTGGTGTAGTAACATTAGGAACAAAGTCTGTCATAAGGTCTTGAAAAGGAACTGAATCATCTTGATATGTGCTAGGAGGATTTGTGGGTGATATAGAAGGATTTATGGACGAATCATCTAGAGGTGATCCTACAAGTAATGGTCTTTGAATGATTGGCTGACATTTACCTTTAAAAGGATAGATATCTTCATAAAAGATGACATCTCTAGAGATATGAATTTGTTTGTTGGATATGTCATAGACTTTATAGGCTTTATGTCCAGGACTGAATCCAATGAAAACACAGTTATGTGCCCTTGCTTCAAATTTATCTTTGTGAGGTTTTGTATTGGTGATATAACAAAGGCAACCAAAAGTCTTGAGAGAGGATAGAATCGGCTGTGTCCCATATAGAATTTCATAAGGAGCTTTCCATTTTAGGGTAGAATTTGGAATCCTATTTATGATATTTGTTGACATGAGAATAGAATATGACCAAAAATGTTTAGGTAGGTGTGCTTGGAACATGAGTGATTTGGCCATATTCAGCAAATGCCTATGTTTTCTTTCGACCACTCAATTTTGTTGTGGAGTGTAAACACATGATCTTTGATATAATATACCTAAGGCTTGGAGTAAAATTTGGCACTCATGACCAGTGAATTCACTGCCATTGTCGGTTCTTATAGCCTTGACATTTTTTGAAAAATTGATTCTTAACCATTTTAAAGAATGAATCAAGAGTTTTACCTGTCTGTGACTTTTGGATTAACATGAAAGTCCATGTAGCTCTAGAATAATCATCCACAAATGAGAGCATGTAGGGAGTTCTTGTTGGCGTATATTGTTTATATGGACACCAAATGTCAATGTGTAACAAATCAAAAATGAAATTGGTATTTGAGAGTTTGGAAAAGATAATCTGCTTTGTTTGGCTTTGTGGCAAGTGTCACATGGTTGTAAATTTTTTATGGTAGAAGTATTACACAATGGACTAAGGAAATCCAGATGTTGTAAACATTTATATGTAGCATGTCCCAACCTATTGTGCCAATCAATAATAGAAATAGAAGAAACTTTATTGGCATGAAAAATATCATCACTAGGTTGCAAGTTCCCAATAACTAACTTCTCTATTACAATTTTCGGTTTCTTTGTTCAGAAAACTATGATCATCTAATGTATATAACTTCCCATTCAGTTTTCCAATTGCTAGAGTCCTGTCATCCTTCAGGTCCTGTAGTGAGCAATGAGTTGGGTAAAAAATGAACTTAACTTTTGCTGTCTGTGTCAATTTTGGAACAGATAAAAGGTTAAATTTGAATGTGGGAATATGTAATACATTGGTTAACATGAGTCTTTAATTTACAGTAATGGATCCAATGTGTTTAACATGCTTAATAGATTCACCAAGCAAGCAAACAGCAATGGATTGTGCAACAGGTTTTACATCAGTCATTTGGTTAATGTCTGTGCATATATGATTGCTGGCACCAGTATCAATTATCCAAGTATTATATCCTAAATCATCAAGTGGGGTAAAAGCCAAATGTTGAGTACACATACCAGAATAATCGTTGAGATGAGCAAAATTGATTTGACTTCCATTGTCTACCAGCAATTTTCCTTTGAGCATCTTCATCAATTCCTGTTGCACAATGTTTGTGATATTGCCAGATGATGCTTCTCCTTTTTGATTCATTGCAGCTGCCTCTTCTTCAAGATCAAGTGATGAATCACTCATGATCATTACATTATTTACCATATTCCTTCCTCCAAATTCTCTAACTCTTTGTTCATTCAATCCTTTGTACCAATCTGGATAACCAATTAACTTGAAACGGCCTTCCTTTGAATGTCCATTGGCATTGCAATGATCACAGAATAATGTTTCCTTATCAAAATTATTGAACATCTTATTGTTTCCTCTTCCAAAAGCATTGTTACCCACTGGGGGACCCACATGGGATCATGTGGGGTCAAATGACCCCACAATTTTATTTTATTTTTTTCAATTTTCTTCTTTGAGGTTTTTTTTTTTTTACCTAAATATTTTAACAATATTGATAACGATGTAATTATACGACGTTTTCAGAGTATGAAAACGCGTAGGTTACAGCTGTAATAGCGTATTGACTTATTTTCGTTAATGATATGTGGTTCTAAATATTTTTGAATTCTCATTTTTGACCCCGCAAGAAAAATGGTCTCGGTCCGCCCCTGTTGTTATCTCTTCCGAAATTAGACCTTCCAGTCCAGTTTCCTCTTCCTCTGATGTGTCCATTACTTCTATAATTATTTCTTGTTGCCATCATAGCTAGATTATCAGTAACCTCTGGAAAAAGTATATGTACCTCCCTTTGTTTTTCAACTCTCAAAACCATGGAGTATGTTATGTTAATTGATGGTAAACGATCCATTACCAACAACTAATTTCTGATATTATCGTGTCATTCAGTCCCATAAAAAATTGCATAAGTTTGTTGAATGAGGCTAAATAAATACTTCCTCAGTAGCTCCACAAATACAAATTGGAATGGGCATTAGACATGTGATTTCATCCCACAATTTTTTGAGTTTAGTGAAATACTTTTCAACTGATAATGATCCTTGAGTTAAACTACTAATTTCTCTCTGTAATTGATAAAGTAAAGGACCATTGCATTCCCCATATCTCTCCTCCAACTCAATCCACAAATCTCTAGCCGAAGTCGTGTAGATGAATGCATCCACAATTTCATTCGAGATTGAATTCAATATCCAAGATCTAACCAGACAATCCACTCTAAACCATTGATCGAACTGTGAAGATTCTTATGCTGGTTTTTCATATTTCCCATTAACAAATCCTAATTTCAATTTCGCACCTAGTGCAATTTTAATCTACCACTCCAACTCAAATAATTCTTACCTGTTAAAGGTGAAGTCACCAATACCATTCCTAGGTGATCTGATCCTCGAAGACCTAATGGATCTCCATTGCTGTAATCTTTCTCAGATGTTCCTTGTTCTGTGGATAGAATGTCAGCTCGTTCATGTGGAATTTCGGTAGCCATGATTTAATATGGCATTTACTTGATAGCAGCTCAGATGATTAAACTCAGGATCTGGATACCCTCTCTGATGCCATGATAAATTTGTAGAAGATATTGTGCAGCAGAAGGAGCTGCGTATTTCACTCTGATTTATTTAATTGAATATAGAATTTACGAAGAGATCCAAAGCATATATATAAAATTTTAGCCAATGAAAGGTGGACACATGTCCAAACAAACAAACTAACTAAAGTGAATAAAGCATGTGAATAAGGAGATAAAAGAAAATATAAAAATAATTATTCAATGTGTAGAATATTTTATTGTGTGGACGTGTGGTCGAAAAAGAATTCGAAAAAAAAAATGGCAAATTTTATTTTAATGGTTATCAAATCAGGGCTTAAAAACTTTACCAAACATGTTCCAGCGTTGGACTCGGTAAGCACTATTTTATTGCAATAATTGCAGCTGCTGAATTCATTTATTCCACTTTGTGGAGCCGTTTCTTTCTCAAAGCTCCCTAAGGAAGAGTTGTTTCAAATGGTCCTGGTGCTACAGACTGCTTGTATAGAAGTTTCTTTACTTATTTTGTACGAATTCTCCGGTGGTTTCCAATGGCAGTAATTTCTTGGGTTCAAAAATGTGCAGGTTTCCATATCTGGAAAATGCACAAAAGATCCCTGTTTTTACTTTTTAATGTTTAATAAATTAATATACTTTTAATCATTTTCTGCTGTTCTTTTCTATCATTTGGGTGGGTTAGTTATTTGATTACAAAAATCATTCATCCTGGTGCATGTTCTTTTTTGTCCGCGTGTATCCTCAATAGGAAGCAAGGTATAAAGATTAATCATTATTCTTCAACTACTGCTTTATTAAAAACTGGAGAAAAACAAAGCAGCTTCAACCAAAGAACATGGGAAAAAAGTTGAAATTTTAAGGGAATTCTATGCTATAAGAAGGCTCTTTCATGGTTAAGAGTTCAGATTTGAAAATGTATTGTTAGGTGATCTATTTTCTTTTCCCATTAAGGTCGAACCTGAACATGTGCTCGAGAAATAGTTGTCATAAGGAATGTATGAATTCTCAAAAAGAGACGGAAATTTGCAACACTCTGTGGCACCCAGGACTGGATGCTAAATGTCAAAATGTTCGTAAGATGACTGTAACATTAATGAAGATGTTCGATGTGTCATCATTTATAAGAGGTTGTAAAAATATCGATAGAAAGCTAAGCGATAGACCAAACCAACATAACTTAGATTTAGCAATAATCCGAATTAAGTGGTAAAAAGGAATTAATAGCCCTAATATTAATATTTTCACGAAGTTTTCGTCTTGCTATGAAATGCTGTTCTACTTCATAAAAAAGACCCTGAATCTCAAGAACAAGTTAACAGAATAAAGGTAATACATAACAATATTACATAGTAGCACCATTTATTTCTTTAGTGAATGACACATGAAGGGGATGCTAACAAGACTCTAAATACAGAAAAGAATGGAGAATAGATACCAAAACAACTTGAACACAAGTCCAAAATGCACATCCACGCTAAGCACATATAATTTGTCCTACTACCTACTCAAAGCAAGTCCCAATGAAAACTAGGTTGTGCTGGATTAATTGTCCTTGATGCCACCTTGGATGTTGAAGGGGTGCCTGCACTGACTCCTGGCATTGATGGCGCTGGTGCAGAATCGAACGTTTCCCACTGTGTTGTTATCACAAAAGTCCCAGAGGTTGAGTGCCTTGAGGGCTGCTGGTGTTTCTTTGGTGGTGAATCGATTAATGACAGCCCAAATGAATGCCGGGGTTGTTGCTGTTGACTGGGAGACGAAACGCTCCCATTTGAGTTCCGTGGATCTTGAACTGGTATTGAAACATGCCCATTTGAGTACCTCTGATGCTGACTCTGTTGAGATGAGTTCCCACTGCTAATAGTCATTGAGTTTTTGATCTTCAACACATCAAGAGTCTCGATGTACTTCTGTACTCGTTTCACCTTCAAAATAAGCAGCAAATCAGAAACTTTTAAATGAGTCCTTAAACAACTATATAGTTCCAAATAGGAGAATTCTGTTTTTTAAGTCCCAACATAATTAAAAACTTTTACCTGCATTTTCCTTTGTAATTTGACATCCCCATCAGCATTAATTCCATCCAATTTAAGAAGTTGATTCATCAACAACTCAATCAGATTTACTAAATCTTTTTCAGCCACTTTTCCACCTTTAGAAATTACAGAGTCAAAAGCTGAAACCTACAAGTTGCAATCAAGATAATAATTCTTGTATTAATGAAGAAAAATATGCTGCAATTTTATCGACCGTACTTTCAAGTATTAAGCACGCCTCGGGAATTACCTGTCCACCAAATCTATCCACCTCCAAGCTGATTTTTGATATAGATTTCGCAGTCTTTTCCATTTTAGCGTTTTTCCTCATCTCAATGTACCGTTTTTCTTGGCTAATTGGATCCTCCGTTAGAACAAGTTTTGATTTGTCCTTAACTCCTGCAGTATCAAGAAATGAATTGGAATCCCTTTCTTTATCCTTGTAAAATAACTTCTGATCCTGGTGGTGCAATCCCGTTGGCTCTGCTAACATTTTCTTCAACTCCCCTGCATTCAAGTTAATTGATTCTGAATTAACAATAACTAACCAAGTCCTAATTCAGAAATCATGTTCATACAACTATCAAGTTTGGTCATATCCAATGCAAGTCAAGAATCAAGAAAATTAGAAGCAATAACTATTGACTGCTGAATGAGTATTGAAAGAGGAATTCATTATTGAAAATTACCAAAGGTAGCTTGAGAACTGATATGAATTTGGTGGTAAATCGATCCGTATTTGACCCGAACTCGAATTGTCGGTGGTGGCGCCTGGTTTTCGTCAGAGTCAGTACGCTTCTGAACCAGCATTCCACCAGGCCTAAGTTCCCAAGCATCATTATTTCCGCCACCATTCGTCGGCGGCGCCCCATTACTTCTAGTCTTCATTCGCATCATTTTCAACAACAAAATTACCCAACTGGAACTGCTAATGATAATTTGAATTCGATGCAATTAAAGGTCAAAAAGAAGATTCATACATATCCCATCTCCAAGTTGTAACAAAATCCCAAAAGTCTGCAGGTCCAAAACTGTAGCCACGCGTTCACAAAGAGAATTTATATCTATATACTGTAGCCGCCGTAAATAGAGTAATTATGCGTGTATCTACGTACCCTGTAGTAAGAGAAATTAAATAGGAAAGTTTTACTTCAAATTCAGAAGAAAAATAAAAGACCGGTGATTCAAGATCGTCGGAGAAGTGAATTTGATTATGTGACCTCAAGTTGAAATTTTACAGAGAGAGAAAGAAGAGGGACTTTCAGATCTCTTACAAAAAGGCTGGAATGTAGAAGAAAGGATCAATGGTTGCGTGAAATCTGCCAAGAATATTGACTCTTCAAATCTTCAAACTCCAATTAACCCGATGGAAATTAGCCCAGAAAACAACTGGAAAAAAATAATATCTATTTGGGTTGATTTTTCTTGGTCTTCCCCTCTCTCCGACTATTGAGAAGGTTCGGAAAAAAAAATTAAAAATAAAGTAGAGAGAGGAGAGAGAAAATATGACATAAAAAAGTGTATGGACGGCGAACAGAACAGAACAGAACAGAACATTGAACTCAGATTATTACACAATATAAAAATAATGTTTAATAAAAAAATGTTTTTTACAAAATGAAAATTGCCAAACGAAGTCGCCAGAGCTTGTGTTTAACGTGAGTCCTGTTTGGTGGGATTAAAATTTAATTTTTTATCAAAGTTAAGTCAATATATAATTTTAATCGTATATATAATCGGATCCATGAATTTTAACTGCACATATCATCATTTTTTTTAATCAAAATTTCCTTAAAACTTAATTTTATTCATTCTTCTTCACTAAGAGCCATTTGATATTTTGAAAAGTCAAAAAGAGTTTTTGAGATCCAAAAGTTACTTTCAGACTTTTGTGATTAATTTTATGAAAGTATTTTCCATAATTTAAAAAATTTAGAGGAAACTGATCAATTGTGACTTTTCCTAAAAAGAATTTTGGAATAGAAAGTGTTTTTAAAAATTAGCTTCCAGACAAAAATTAAGTAGAATTCTTCAAAGTACTTCCACATGAAATAATAAAAGCAAAAATAAAAATCATGTCAAACAAACCCTAACTTAACACGCAATGTAACCTTTCTTATATGTATTTTTTGCTGGCATGATACATGAAAATTATTCATAAATGAGTAAGCATAAATAAATTCATTTGTATTCTTGTGGTTGTGTGAGAATTGCCATATCATAAAATAGGATGAGGTAGTAACAAATGGCGGGCATAAGGGTGTTTTAGAAAGAGTAATGTTATTCATCCCAACTGAGATTACTAACACAGTTTAAGTGGGTCCACATTAACTCCATCTAAACTGTGTTTGTAACCCCAGAAATGGATAACATTACTCTTTTAGGAATTTGAGGTGGCTTTAATCATTGTGCAGTTAACTACTAGCTAAATTTACAAGGTAGGACAGATGTCTATTACTATTGAATGACTGAGGAAATCTGGTCAACAACCAGTAGCATGAATCAATTTTCACTTAACTTTCCGATAATTTGCTTTTAATTATTTTTATTCATTAATGACCCGCCCTTATTTTTCCATTGTAACTGCATACCTCATGTCACTTTCACTTGTCTAAATTTATAAAATTAGAGGTTGTTTGAAAGAGATTTTTAGGGGAAGAATTGATTTTAAATAGTGATATGATGGGAAATGTGTGGTTGAAAAAGAAAAAAAATTATTGATGTAATGAAAAATATTATTTTATTGAAAATTGTGTGGTTAAAAATGAGAATTGATTTACTGTAAAAAATCTAATCCCTCCCAAACAGGGCCTTAAATTGTAACTTGATATATCCTCCTTTTGGTTATAGTCTATATATGAAGAGAAAAAGTCCAAGCTATAGAAAATTGGTTCCACTCCACCTTATTTGATTTTTGCAATCAAAGTGCTTGGTTCGATTCTATTTTTTTAAGCGAGTTTCTTTATTCACATGTTGGGGGTTGTTTGATGATTTTTTTATATATAAAATTTTTAACAGATTTTAATGAAAGAATGATAAAATTCATCAAAAAATTGATAAAAATATGTGTCTTCTAAAATGTGTGTTTAAAATTGAAATCTCAGTTTAATGGTTTATAAAACTTCACTAAGATTTTATCAAACAAACACTATGCTCACCCTAATTTTTTAAAATTTATTTTTTCCCAGATTGATTTATTCATTTTTTTTTAATCAAAATCTACAATTTTGTTATGTATCCAAACCAAATAGAGGCTATATGTCTTTTGCAAAAAACAAAATAAAAAAAATCATCATTTAAGAAAAAAGTATATATATTTTTTTCATTTCACCCCCTAAAATCTAAATAGACCTTTTAAAATATTTTTTTTCTTAAAAAGTATTTACATGAGTTTCTTTATTCATGCTATCTATGATTTCGTAAAAATTAGTTTAAATGGTTTAGTCTTCATTTAGCAAATTTATAAATGATTTATTAGGTGAAATAGTAAGAGTTGTATTACTCGATTTCATAAAATGTATGGATAAGTAGTTATGAGCTCATGTTTGATACACATTCTTTCAAAATTCATTTTCAATCACACATTTTTTAATAAAATAATATATTCCACACATCAATAGATTTTCTTTACTTTTTAACCGCATATTTCCATTATATCACAATTTAAAATATATTATTTCTTCAATAATATCCATCAAGCACACTCTGAATGTATGGTTGAAATTAATTTTTTTCTTTTACTATATTTTTATTTATAAATTGGCTTGCCAATAGAGGTTTATAATACAGAGTAATGTTATTTAGTACTATTGAGATTATAACTCAATCTAAATGGCGTTAATATGATATTAAATGAAATGTGAAATTAAATAAATCATTTAATTTTATCTTTCATTTAGCCTCTCATCTAACGTCACTTAAATTGAAATTGTAATTCTAGTAGAGCTACATAGCATTGCTCTATAATATATATAAATAGACGAAAGTGAATGATAGACAAGTAAATGACACAATTCAAATGTACTCTTTTGTCTTTAGAATAATGTTATTTTGTTAGAAAGTAACTGATATAATAGTTGACATAATAAGTGTTGACAAGATGTGATTGAATGAAAAAAATAGACTTTATTTTAAGGATAAAGATGTTTGTACATAATTTAATGTACCGAATTGTTTACCTCCTCTCACATCCATGCGGGCTTCGCGTGAATAAAAAAATTCCAAGATGTGGTCCCCACCCCCTGTTGTGAGTAGTCGGTAAGGGATTAAGTAAAAAAATTCGGTACATATAGTATGATCCTTATTTTAAACAGTTTAATAATAAATTGATGATTTACTGTAAAAAAATATAATCTTTCCCAAACAGCGCCTTAAACTTTTTTATTGAAATCTAGAAAATTGGTGTTTTATAACAAGCATTTATACAATTTATTATGTCTTTGGGATTGATTGTAAGATTATAATTAAATGTTAAGATTCAACTTGTTACTTTTTAAAAATTAGAGACCATCTTGTTACTTGAAGAATAAATTGAGGATTAATGCTATGAGTTATCCTTATTTTAACACCTAAAAAAAAAAGTCATTGTGTTCCATTATCTCACTTTGCATGGACATTAATTAGGGGCGGAGGCTAGGAGAGGGGCGATCGCCCTAGCAACATTTCTCCCTATCCCATCAACTTTTTCTCATTTTTTTTCAAAACTTTTCTCGTACTAAATTAACTTGAGCTTGTTGACAAGAATACTTTGTGGTTGCATATAATGTTGATTTAATTCCCGATTGCCATAATATTATCTCTCTCATTTTTTATGATAAATTTTCAAAATTAGACTTGACCTTTATATGTATAACAAACACATCCTCAACCTTTAACATTAAACTTTTCAACCCTCAACATTTAGTACTATTTGCATTGTTTGTCCCTTCTATATAATTTTTTTTTTTTTTTTTCTAAAAGCTCTAGCTCCTCATCAATTGAAGGTAATAAATCAATTTAGATAAGTTCTTTTCCTATAAAATTTAGTAGATGGGATTTCATATTTAACATTATGTGTTGTAATCTAAGGGTCTGTTTGAGCCCCATTTTTGTGTATAATGCATTTTTCGAATAATATATTAATGAAAAATGTATGGTTAGAAAAAATTGTGTTCCATGTAATATTACTTTATTGAAAATGTGCGATTGAAAAGGAGATAAAGAAAAATGTAGTTTTTAAAAAAAAAATGGGATCAAACAAGGACTAAAACATGTTTCAACATATTTGCTTACTTTCCTTTCCAAGAAAACATATTATTGTGTATATATTTCTATCCTGGCATGTAAATGTGTAAACAAAATCTCTCCCTCGTACCTACGTAAACACTTAACTTTAAGCCTGTTTCTAAGCTTCATTTTTTTTTTTTTTGGTTAAAAAATAGTTTTGTAATAGTCAGTTTTTAAAGAATGTTTGGTTAAAAAGTAGAAAAAAATTCGAATTCATGTGCAAAATATTTTATTAGGAGAACGTGTTGTTGAAAATGAGTATGAAAAAAATAAATTTTTAGACAATCGAACTCAAAAAGGGCTAAATATCCAACAACAATAAAATAATGAACAAATTATAATTATAACTTATAAATTTAAAATTATTATAAACTAGAAAGAAAAAAGAGAAATCAATACATTTGTATGTTTTATTAGGAACAAAATCCCCATATTTATAGAAACAAGTTAGGGTTACAGGAGATACAACAGTCACAATGACTAGGGTTGGAGGGATATAAAAGTCTATTTTAAATATTACTATATTAACAATTCTCCCTTAAATAACTATTTACATAATAACTATCTCATCAAAACATTATTTGGCAAAAATTCGATAGGACAAAAATGCCAACAACTGAAAAAAAAAATGATGAAAATAATTTGATGTAATAAAATGTTGCCTGTTAAAACTTTGTCAAGAAAATCTAATGGGACAAAACTTAATCGAAGTAAAAATAATGCA